GTCTTTGTATTTTGCTGAAGAAACAGGACGAAATCCAGCGTATAACGGATCCATTTCTATTTGTGAATAACGCCTAGCTCTTCCTCTTTTTGGTGACAAATCCAAAGTTAGAAATTCATCTTTTTCATCTAAAGTTAGTTTATAAAACATTTTATAGCCATCTGCTGGCGGGTCTGGAGGTAGCCGCCACATCACTCTAATATAATTTACAAAACTGCACTATTCTTTCGCACTTATAAAAATAAGCCCAGTGGTCACAACTTTTTTTAAAAATACTGAAAATAATTCAAAACAATACTTCACACACACTTATCACACGTTTCTATTTCTTTTACACTAAGCCACGCAATTAATTTTCTGAGTACAGCGACTTACGCCACTTTCAAAATAAACATGTTTGTTATACCGTTAATAAGTAAAACTTCTCTCGAACAAATCTCAATAGTTCTCAACTTATTGATTGCAAATTTTTATAAAATGAAAAGATACCGTTCAATTGTAGTTAGTGTTACCATTAACTCGATTTTTTTGAAAAAGTGACTTATGCCACTTTCAAAATAAACGGCTCATATGTTACAGTAAAAATGTCGTAACGTTTCAGTTATCGTTTCTCCTGTGCCTCTTCGGTCTGGCAGTGATAGTCTCTGCCACGGCGGACGTACCAAAGCCCAGCTATGCCCGGACGATGTTGAAAGTGTCGAGGAGTCTTCCAGGGGAGACGGAGGAGCTAAAAGTGCGCACAAGCGAAGGCAGCGTGGCCACCCTGATCGTGAAACGACGAGAAAAGACAGTTCCTGAAGAGCCGAAGCTCCGTGAACCGGCCATCAAGCCTCTAGAAACGCAGAAGCCGAATCTCGAAGCGAGGAACGCAAGCTCTGTCTCGCTAGAGACATCGAGGTCCAGCAAGAACGAAACGAAGAACAAGGAAGAGGTGAGGAAGCTGGAGGTAGCTCAAATCGAGCAGCTTAGGGCGAAGTTGTCGGAGTCGGACAACAAGAGAGTACCTCCGAGCACGGGGAACAGTTCCAAGGAAGGGAAGCCGCTGGTCTCTGAACGAGAGCAGGCGGTCAGCGAGAAAAACATCGATTATGGCAACTGGACGCCATTGGGAACCGACGGCCGAGCGGTGCGCATAGAAGAGTCGACGACGGAAGAGTATCAGAGCTGGAAGCCTCTTCCCAGCAGCCTGAAAAGCAACGCGGAAGAGAGGAATAGCTACGCAAGGTTCGACTCAGCGTTTCCAACCAGCGGGCTGCTGCTGATGAGACATTTCCAAGACAGAGTCCAGAGGAATTTGCCTATGAACGATCAGTCCGATGAGACTACCCGGTACACGTTTCTACCTCATCAGGTCCGACCGACCAGGACCAACCTAGGCGCGAACCTTTCGAAGAACAGGGACGCCAAGAACGTGCCGCCGGAGGTGATCGTTCGGTCGGAGATCAACGTGAAAACTTCGCAGAAGAGGATGCCGATGACCATCGACAGGGACGGCACGCCTGTGATCCACGGCAAGAGGGTGCCGGATGAGCCCATCGACAAGCTGCAGACCTGGCGCAATGCTAGAGTGATCAACAACAAGCTGATACGCGATGGCATCGCTGCTGATACCTTGGACCCTTCTACGAGCTTCTATCAGACGGAGAATGACCAGAAACAGGGGTTCGAGAGGTTCTTCAGGAATGTTAATAAAAGGTAAATAAAGAGTGGACGAGATTTGTGTCATAGGGATATTGATATTCTTTAGTAAAAGGGATTATGTATTCTGTTTAAAAAAATTGAAAGTTGGTATGATGGAAAAATAAGAAATGAAAAGACAACTTCTTGACGAACAAAAAAGTTCGTCTTACTTTCTTTTTTTTATGAAAATTGCAAAATAATAAAACGCATAAGTATACGGTGATATTTGCATAGGGATAGTCAACTAAAATGTTATAAAAAAAACGAAAATATTATACTAATATTATACTAATATGCTAATATTAATTGTACTAATATTATACTAATATACTAATATTAATTGTACTAATATTATACTAATATACTAATATTAATTGTACTAATATTATACTAATATACTAATATTAATTGTACTAATATTATACTAATATACTAATATTAATTGTACTAATATTATACTAATATACTAATATTAATTGTACTAATATTATACTAATATACTAATATTAATTGTACTAATATTATACTAATATACTAATNCTTTCGCACATTTCGTTTGAAAACTGCTGAAATTATAAAGATTCTTTCATAGAAAATAGTAGAATAAATTTGTTAATCCAAGCATACACTGTAATAAAGGTCTAAATAAATATAATCTCGTCATTCTTGCAAAGCAATACACGTTAGTTATTTATTTTTAGGCGCAGTCAAGTTTAGTGTTTTTATGAAATTGGTGCATTAAAATCTATAAAAATATTTTATCGATTAACAAAACGCGAACGCGTAACAATTTGTGGAAGTAATTTTCTCATCAATATCTTAAACTCAATAGTTCATTACTTTATGCCAATCGGTTTGCATTAAATAGTGCATAAAAGGTCTCAAAATTATATACTCGAGAAAAATCAATATATTTATTAATATGATATACTAGATATTGAGATACTAATATTATTAGCATCTGTATCGTGGGGTCAGCGAATGAAAAAATTACATTGCTTCGCTCTAGTAATTTTTTACTAGTTTCCTTTCGCTAGTTCCCAAAATTTTCGCGCGTTCATCAATTAACTTCCGTACGAATTGTCTGTCAAATATTTGCCGACTGAATCTTTTAGGTACGGCTGAATTCTGCGCGAGGCTATTTCTCTGGACGGCAGAGTCTGATGTGTACTGTACAGAGTCTGATACTGTATATACAGGGTGTCCCAAAAATGTCTCGCA